GGGTGGAAGTCAATGAGCAGCACGCGGGCGAAGAGCAGCAGGAAGAGCAGGTAGCTGACCACGTTGCCCATGAAGGCCGTCACGGGCGCGCCCCAGAAGTGGGACCAGAGGCGCAGGCAGTGGCGCCAGCCATGCCCCCCACAGCAGCTGCGCCCCCTGCAGCAGCCTTGGAGCCTAGGCTGCCTTGACACCCCCAGCGGAGTCTTCTCTGCAGGGTCTGCCGGCCTGGGGTGGGGGGTGGGGAGACACAGGAAGCGATGGGAGGTTTCAGATCTCGACCGCCCGCGAGCCCTCTGACCACCCCCTCACGGGACCTTCTGTGCCTTCACAACCTCTGACCCTGCCTGACCTATGACACCAACTCTGACCTCTTCCCTCTGGACTGTTGGCCCCTGGAGTTGCAAACAGTTCAAAGTCCCAGGCGGGCAGTTCGAACCCACCCAGATGCACCTTGGTGATCTGATGCTAAGTCACAACCTTGAGAGCCCTAAAGAGCAGTCCTGCTCTGCCCCCGGGGTGGGTTAGGGAGGGGACAGTGTTACTGTGAGTTGACCTTGACCCAAAGACAATGGACACCACCGCCGCCACCACCACCACCACCGATATCCCCTGCCTCTGAATTCCCCCACCAGCCCATGCTGACCTCTGACTTGTCATGAACCCTGACCTGTTTGGCTTCTGATCCTAGAGTGCTTGTCTCTTCATGACCTCTACCTGATTCAGAGCCAAGTCCGCCAGCCCCTCCACCCTCTGGCATTCTTATAACCCGGCCCCCCACCGCCTCCCCAAATTAAGTGTCCAAAGTTGGATAGAACATGCTCCACTCTCCCTCCAAGGGCATCACAGCCCAGCGGTTCTGGGCACGGGGGTTGGTCTGGCTGTCAGTCATCCCATGAAGATGACAGCTTAGATCGGAAAGACAACCGTAGACGGAGCTCCCCAGATGGACCGGCGCCAGCCTGTTCGACTCGTTATTCCACGTTGGTTTCCAAGGGCGACCGACCGCCTTGGTGGCAGACCCAAGCATCCAGGAACCTTTCTCCATCTCTTTCATGAGCTTCAGCTCACCCTGTGGCCTGGCTCGGTCCTAGGTGCTCCTAAGACTGCCCGGGGTACCCCCATCTTGCTCCCACAGTGCTGGGGTCTCCACTGTCCCTCCAGATCCTACTCACCTGGCAGGTGCTTCCCCATTAATGCCCTTATCCGTGTCAAATTCCAGGTCCTTCGGTGTGGGCTCCTCCTTGGACGTCCTGGCACGGAGGGGAAGCTCATAGGGGGAGGGGAGATGAAGTCTCCAGGGACCCCCAGTTCTCCTTCACCCAGAGACACGTCAGAGGGACAGGGGTGCCTCTCTAGAGTCACCGCCAAAGGGGCCTTCCCCAAGAGACAGAACCATAGAGGCAGAGAACTGTATCTAGAGACACCAAAAAAGACATCCCCAGAAGTTCACCTCCCGGGACGTGCCCTCATCCCGAGTCCGCACCCCGAGCAGACCAGATGGGACACGTGGGCAGAAGCTGCAGGGAGGAGGATCTGAGCAGCAACTGCACACACGCACACACACACACACACTCAGGCCATTCTAACTCCAGAAGACTGACCTGAAGGTGATGAGGTTGGTGTAGAGGAGTGGGGGGCAGAAGAAGGTGAGAACCAGGGCCCAGACAGGCGTGGTACCGTCCATCTCTCCCCACCACTTCTGTGTCAGCAGAGACTGTGGGGCGTGAGCAAGATGAACAGCCAGGATCATCCCCTACAGTCCCCTCCCTAAGACCCCAGGCAAGCACGGGGCCACAGCTCCAGGACACAGGTGCCCAGCAGCGTGGTCACAGGGGAAGATGAGCTGCCCCAGGTTAGGACTAGTTGTTACACAGCTCGCGCTGACTGAGGTTACCCTTGTTGTCAGATCCTGGGTGAAGAGAGTGCTCTGCATAGATTGGCTCACTTAAATCTCACCATCCTCACGCCTAAGGAAATAGGTACTGGTATTTTCTCCGTTTCACTCACTGCCATGAGTCTAATTTGACTCGCAGTGACCCTATAGGACAGGGACGAGACCAACCCTGAGCGTTTCCGTGGCTGTAACTGGTTATGGGCGTAGAAAGCCTCCTCTTTCTCCCGACAAACACAGCCAGCTGAAAATCCATGAGCTGAGCCACTATTCAAAGCAAAGGACTCCCTCGGGCAACTCTTTGAAATGCCAGTCCGGTCATGCCAAATAGGTGTGGCAGGAGATTCTCATAAGGGTCCAGAGCACTTCCTCTACTAAAGCAGCGGCGCTACTTGCTGCGGCCCGGACAGACTCAGATTTAAACTACTGGGATGGTTTCTGAACGGTCAGGGTTGTCAAGATGGAAGTGACTGTGGGGACCAGCAAGGCTTCCCCAAGAGAAGGCTTTCTGGAGAGAGGGTGGCCTTTCCAGAACCAGAGTTTACCCCGGTTGCAAACAACATTCAATAATGACCCTGTGAAGGCCCTCTAATTGTTGGCTCTAATTGTAGGCATGTCCAGTGGAGGAGGCTGGACTTCTTTGAGGAGAAATTGGATTTCCTGTGGAGTGGGGAGCAGGACTTCCGATGCGAGAGAGGAAATTTTTTTAAACTTTTTTTTTCCTTTTAAACCGCCAAATTCACTGCCGTCTAATCGATTCCAGATCACAGTGACCCTATAGGGCAGGTAGAACTGCCCCTGTGGGTTTCCAAGCCTGTTTATCTCTAC